GTTAACACGTCAGTATGCAAACAAAATGAGCTGCTCAGGACAAGAAAACACCACGTCACACTTTGCCGTAGAGCTGCGAATCATCTATTAAAATTTCAATACTATCTACCTGGCGGAGTGCAGCAGGTTTGTGATCATTACTCCCTACTTGCGATCTACATAGGTAAGTTTCCATCCGAAACTAAAGTGTGAACACACCTCGGTCGTGCTTCCCGGTATAAAAACAAATTCGTTCGGAATACAAGACTGTTTCAAGAGTGACGGTACTCATTGAGCTGAGTCTTGATCGAGGAAGACGAGGTTCATCTTTTACATCGACATATCCTGAACGAAAACGAGCAAACCGATTGCGTCACTGCTGTTCACTTAAGAACTCAAAGCGTTCCAATGACCCTGTATTGCATTTTCTGAAGCAAAATATTTATTCCTAAAATTAAATTTTTAATTTAAAGCATAAAGCCTTGGGCTATGTTAACAAATGGCCTTATAGATATTCAGTCTCCCAAATGCACCTCAATTTTTATTAAACCAAATTTAAATAATTTTACATCAAACAATTCATAAGCTGCAGGAAATGCCTCCTCTTTCAATTATACTAGAGTTAAACTAGAACTCAATCTAGCCTACGTTCGTCGACATTTTGCTAACATTAGAGAGCTGTTCACATTTTTAACTAACGTTATCATTTTCATTTTTCGCTTCAACAGTTTTAAAATAATCTCATTAGCTTCCGTTTATTTATTGCCATATATTACTAATACATATGTATGTATTTATGTATGTACAATGTACATTGTATATAAATATGTTCATACGAAGTAACCATATTAATTTTATTAAAAATAGGATTAATTTGTGTCTTTTCTTCATATCTTCAATGTAGAAAGCGTAAAATCCTAAATTCAGAGACCCAAAAAAATCTTAAATTAAGAAATTGTATTGTATTTCACTTTTCTTGCTTATTCGTTTATTTGTCATGCATTGCTTTACTTTTCTATACAGGCAAATCGATCGTACGTCCACTGCAAATGATTGTCCATCTTCACAATCACTAATGGAGCTAACTGACATTTATATGTTTGTATGAGTATGGCTTGAATTTGACACTATGTTTTTTTTATCCAGATGCCAAGCGCTAAATGCATTTGGCCGATCACGGACAGCTGCACAACTGGTCGTCATACACATATCTTTATAACTTTTCAATACTTTCTGTGGCAAGACGCACCTTTCGGCTTCTTTTCGTACGCTTGCTTGTCCAAATTTGTTATGTTTTGCGTATGGCGGCTCTTCTTTGGTGTCTATTAGTATAGAAATATTTTATATCTAAGCACACATTTGGTTTGTAAATTACTTGGAAAGTGTTGAAGTAAAGTCAAACGTTTTTTGCTATTTACGAGTAATATGCATACATATTCGATTACTTAATTTGGAATGTGCTAATACGCAATAATCCAAATGTTGAAGTGTCGAAACTAATTTGTTAGCATGTCTGTTACATTTGGGAAGAGAAAATATTACTTTTGTGCGGATTTTGTTTATGGTTGTTGATATGACAACTATACGAGTGAGAAGTTTTAGGAAAGTTGCTAAAAAGTGAAAACTTAAAATTTCGACCGGAAGCGAACATGGACTAGATTACATATATGTACATACATTACATATAGTTACTTGAACAGGCGCTAGATTACATATACACGATTTTATAGGCAAACGTGGTAAGCGCTAGAAATAAAGGAAAGGCTAGTTCAGTCAAGTCAGTTCAAGCACTTTTGAAGAAATCCTGTTTTTGTAAATTTGCCGTTTTCATAAAAAGAAACTCAATATAAAAAAATGTATTTTAGAGAAGGCAAAGGGTCTCACGCGACAATGTCTTGTCTAATCAGAAATTAGTCCGAGCAATCATTTCAGAATTTTTTATGATATGACACAACTAATCTTTGTTATATGAAAGCCATAATTTAATTATCCCTATTACCCGGCAGAGTTGTAAAATTTGAACCGTGCTACTACTTCACATTTTGGTTCACCATCCCATCTTTCACTAGCCAGCTCGAATAAATACTTATACCTTAAGCCAGTGGTTGCACAATATCTTTAAGACTCGACAGCGCATTTTTTAGTAACCATTTCCAAAAATCTAAAAGCAGCTTACTTATCCGAAAAAAATAGTTATTGCCTGCGGAACCAGATCGGAACTGACCAGCTACCTCCTTCATGGTTGTAAGCACAATTTTAGAGACAGACCCTTTGGGTATACTCTACTTCCAACTCTCTTTTTTTAATTTTGACCTCTTGGTATAAATTCTTGTATGATGCGAGTATGTTTTCAACGCAGAATCTTCTTCTGATTCGCTCCTCGAAAAAATCCTGTGAGGGAAACGTTTTCAAAGACCATAGTCGGTATTGGATAGTCCGGGTGCTTGAAATTTTCCGTGCTGGTATCCTACGCTTTGGAACGGCAAAATCTCGTATGCTTCCGTTTATTCAAAGCATTCTGCCTGATTGCATTACTGCTCGTCTGTAGTTTACCAGGAAGGCTTCCAATTCAGAATGATTCCCAATCATTTAACTTGGTTTACTAGAGTCAATGTGATGTCATTAAGCAAAGAGAGTTGTTATTGGGTAGTTTTTTTCTTTTTTTTTTTGAGAAAAACTATATCAGTTCCTGCTTTCGGCTTTCATAGGCTATATTTTAATCCTCCAGGTGGCGCAGAGGTGAGATATTCAGAAAATCTGTATTTATGATCCGATTTTGATGAAATTAGAAACGAATGTTGATTTACCGTGCCATTTGGATGAGACTAGAAATGCATACGTGATTAGAAATACTTTTACGAGTAAGTAAATTGGCAATTTATGTATTACGCTTCGTACGACATTCTTGCATTTTTGGTAATCCGAATGAGAGAATACTCTTTAAAAAATTGTTTAGTATTTTATGTATGTATTTATATCAAGAAAAAAATGATGAATTTTTCCAGAGGTTCAGACAAAAATCTTTGATGGTAATACATTTTTACTTGCAAACCCTACGAAGCTGAGATTTATTACTCATTGCATTATTTTCACTTTGTCTGACGCATATTTTAGAAATTTTTTTGCAAAAACTTACAAAACTATAAGCAAAAAAGTTTAAATAATTGACGTCTAAGTGAAATTTACACTCCCATGCCATAAAAATTCAAAAAGTAAGCGATATATTGTAATCAAATTTGATGTAAGCCTGTACCTACAAACATGCATATTTACGTATGCACATTTATAGATATGAATATACTCGTATGTCTGTACGAGTACGTATTTTATGCTATGTAAATGTAAGTAAAAAAATGCAAGTAAAATCCACTCAACGTTTGGTTAGCTAAGACGCCTGTTGTACGCGTATCAAAAATTTCATAACTACGTTTACATGTGGATTGAATATACATATATGTACATATAAATATGTATAGTTACAACAAGTGCAAATTTGCAA